AGTCAGTCAGTCAGTCAGTCAGTCAGTCAGTTAGTGAGTTAGTTAATTAGTTTCTGCTGGAATGGACTAATACAGGCACCCCTCTGCAAAGGGAATTTCCGATGCACAAGCCTCTAATAATGGTAAATGTGTATCACAAAAAGCATAGGTGGCAGAGACTCCTGTCAACTTTTAATGTGGAAGAGAGACATGACAGTGTGGGCTGGATGCATTTGCAGTTGTCATGTCACCTAACCTGCATCTGACATGGCCGGTGTGTGAGACGGGAAAGCGAGAGAATATAACTAAATCAATCCAGAGAATGCACAGCCATCAAAGCCGTAGGTTTTATTTCCTCTTGGTCTATCAGCCGAGTTGGGGGGAGGGAAGCATTAAGAAAATGGGCTCAAGCCAGCATTGTTCCAATATTGATGTTCTTCAGCAACTTGAAACAGCTTGCAAAACCTTAGCACTATAATCAGCGCGCTCCTGCTGAGCTCCCTGTCAGCCGCCACAATGGGTATAATCTAGCACCTGCTTAGAACAAAACTTTGAAGTGAAGCTAGATGCCCACAGAATAAAAGAAAGGAGGGTGGCTACACAGATGGGAGGGCGCTGGGGGGGAAGAGCAGTGACAAGTTTTTGTGATGCTGGCGCAGCATGGAAGCTTTAGCTACAGTGACAGATCCAAAGAGCCTTATTGTTCTCCTGGAGACCTCCCTTTCCCAAATGCACTCTTTTGTCAGCCTCCAAGAATAAAATCATACATTATACATTCAGATTTTAAATATTACTCCTCCCCCATCGTACCCTGCTTCTAGTAGGAGATTCCTCTCAGCAGCAGACATGTCTCCTTGAATCTCCCATTTTAGGACTGCTTTAGTTGTTATGCTTTAGTTGAAGCGACGTTAAGTTTGTAATGTGTTCATGTTGGGTTCTATAAAATGAAATGAGAAAATAGGCCCTTGCCAATTGCATGTTCATGTCATAGGGATGTGGGAGAGGCCTTGATTCTGTGTCCTCATAGAGGGTATATTCAGGACCTTCCTTCCACCTGGCGCTGTCCAGATGTGTTGAGTTACAATGACTGTGGTGGCTGGGGATGATGAGAGCTGCAGTCTAACATCTGGAGGGCACAAGGTGTAGAAAGTTCATACACAGCTCTTCAGAAAAAGAAAGTGGGCTTACCTTATCCTTTTTGTGCAATATAGGGCAAAAAGTGTGCAATGACTTCATCACTGACTCACAGTTAATCATTAACCCTTCAGTTAATCACACTGATTTCCTTTCAAAATGCCAATTTTATCATTCATCTCTTCCACCGCTTCCTGCTCATTTGTAAGGACACAAGGATTCAACTTCATGATGCAATGGAGATGGAGGAAGAGGAAAAGGAAGAAAGAAAAGAGAAACTCAGTGTTCACAGGGGCAGAATGGCTTATACAAGCAAATAAGCAGTATATCCAAAAAGCCCACTTTCAAGAGCCTCAGGGCAAATCAAATGTTGCTGATACACGGTGGCAGGCAACTACGTCTGGAGTGACAAAAAGTAAACATGAGGGATCTGATGGAGACCATAACCATGGAGGTACTGTATGCGGGGGATGGGAGCTTTAGCCTGTTGCCTTCACTCTGGAAGTCACAAACCAAATCAGAGGAAATACAGGGAAAAGTCCAATTTGATTCTATGGTCAATAAACCCCCCTCCACATGCACACTTATACATTTTGAAGCATGTGCTACATGGCAAAAAGTTGCCTCTGTGCAGCCACAGTTGACTATTAGAGTCTGGAACGACACGGTGTGTTCATGCAATTACCTCTTCCCACATTAATTATCAGTTACTCGCAGTCTTTCCCAAACCCTAGAAAAGCTTTCTCTTTTTCTTGGCCTACAACTCCTGGAACCTTGGAGCCATGTTGTTTGGGGTGGGGAGCAGATTCTCAAGTTGTAATCTAAAATGACTAACCTTTCCACAAACTGAAGTGGGCAGATGAGCCACCAAAATGGTAAATCTGCTTGCTAGAGGTATGCCCCACTCATTCCCTTAGCTATACTTGTCTCCACCTAGTCGGCCATAATAAATAGAAAGCAACAAAAGCCCAAATGTGCCAAAAGTGGCTTAATAAAAGTGGCACAGTACTCCTACCTACTGAAGAGGGAGGGATGAAATAATATACAAATACTGCAATGCTGTGTAATTTATGGCTTGTCTCTACCGGTGCTTTTGTTATGGGCTGAAGAAGGTCATTTGTGGTTGGTTAGAGGTGTGATATGCCATTTAGAGCGATTCTTGCATCCAAATGGAGCTCAAGCATCCCTGTCTAGTCTGGCACCTTCTGGTGTGAATTTCTGATATGGTGAAGCTTCTTAATCAGCAAGCCACTTCAGGATGTTGGCAGATTGAACACTTTCTCTTTTCCTTGTTGGATGGGCATAAGAAATGAATAATATATTTTTCAAACTGTAGTACACCAGCACAGATGCCCTGCATCATATAATTTTTTTAAAAAAAAACCTCTTTGCTTTGTCTTAAAGGACCAGTCAAGAAAGTGCCCCACAGCCAAATCTACAGCAGTTGCAGTAATTGATGCAGTGCATCAGCAATGGTCTGCTACAGGAAAAAAAAAAATCACTTCACCTGCCCCTCCATTGATGCAGTGCATCAGCAATGGTCTGCTGCAGGAAAAAAAATCACTTCACCTGCCCCTCTGCCGAAGAGCAGAGGAAGTGTTCAATTTGATGATATCCTGAAATGACATGCTTCTTAAGCCACTTCACAATGTTGGAAATTCAGACTAGAAGGAGCCCTGACAACCAGAAGTCTTACTTTTGGTCCATGTGCAGCAATGTACTGGAAATGAACCAAACCCAAGTGATTCTGTCAACACCAAAAAAGTAGAAGCCTCTGACAGGAGCTCAGAAAGGTACAACTAAGAATGCTCTATGGGAATATTTGGTTTGCTCCTTCGATTATATTGTGTGATCATTGGAAAAAGGAGAGAACCAACCCATCCCCAGAGCAGACCAAACAGTGGACTAAATGCTCATCTGATCATATCCTTGGTAAGGTTAAATGGTGCCACTAAACTATAAGCCTCTTATTTCATAATAGAAGACAATGCAGTATCCCTGAAGTTAAAAATTCATTAAAATAAGCAGAATGTTTCTTAAAAGTAACAATTTGACAGTTCACAATTCTCAGAAAGAAAGAATAGCCAGACGGAGCAATTAAGATCTTCAACAAAATGATGCAGTACATAGGGTTTATGTTCACGAGTTCTGCAAGCTAGCCATTTCCTTTTCCTAGATATGCTGTTCCTTTCCTTCCCCATTCAGCTCACAGAAATCCTGATTTGAATTGCTTCCCTAAGTATTACAGAATAAGGTTACAAGGAAATATATCTGACAAGCATTAGTATATGATTCCTTCTGGCTCTAAGAGCAAATAATTCTTTAGCGTCACTGGAATGAAAAGTAAAGGGACTGTTTGGTGACATTTGTAGAGCAATCATTTCCGAATAGCACATCTGGCTAAATGTTTGAGGGACCTTGGCGTATTTGTGCATGTCTCCAAAAGAGACTCGTAGAAATCCTTGTACATCTGCAAAAATAAAACAAAATGTGGTTATGGGGGAAATCTCTCTGCTGTACATGGGAAAATACTGGAAGAAAACACGTCATCATATTTTCTGCATCCAACATGACATTTTGCCAGAGTTCCCATTTAATTTCATCCAACAGCGGCCTGTGAGAAAGAAACTGATTAATTAAATCATATTTTCTGCATCCAACATGACATTTTACCAGAGTTCCCATTTAATTTAATTCAACAGCGGCCTGTGAGAAAGAAACCGATTAATTAATGAATTAATTAATCAACTTCTGTACAGACCAGCTGACTACAAAGGCCACTCTGGGCAGTTCACAACATGATAAAACAGACAAGACTTTAAAAAGCATTAAACATTATATTTATGCAAAGACCACAATTAAACATATCAATCACTGTACATTAAAAAGTACATATCTACCTCATATTTAAGGTGTGACAAAATTCTCCTCCTGCATCAAATTAATGAAGAGCATTTGGAGAGGGGGCACACCTGCCCCATCCAACACCGAAAGTCCAAATACTAAAATGAAAATTTATACTGATTTGCTTGGATGTAAAATAATACAAAGCGCAGATAGCCAATTATTTGAAAATGTTGTCTTTTGTATGAGTCTGCAATCCTAGGATTTCCATTATTGTCCTCATACACTGTCTGCTCTTATGGTATCTAGTAAAATATTCTTTTAAAGTCACCAGACATTTAAGGTCCCAACCCAGCTGTTTTTCTTGAATTTAATTCTGTTTTTCTTATTACTGCGTTCTTGCCAAACAAGACAAATCTTACTACAGTATTTCTACTACTGATGAGGTGTTATAATTTGTTTCTAAAGCTGAAAACATAATGAAAACCATTCCAATCAGAAGTGGGATAACAGATTTATAAAAACTGATTTTATATCAGGGAGAAACTTTGGGGATCCTGACTTCAGAGATGAACTTTGAAGTACTATAAGAAAGTTGAACAGATGGGCCCCAGTTAAGGAGAGGTCAAAGAAAGGACCAATATTCTGGTCCAGCCATTAAACAGTATATAGTAGAATCAATTTTGACTGGATAAATACAACGTCCAATCAGAACATACCAATGTTCTGGCCAATTAAAATTTGAGCCCCCAAGGCCTTTCAGTTTTGCTAAGATTGTTTTGGATATAGCAGTCCTAAATTGATGCATGTTCTGGCCAATTAAAATTTGAGCCCCCGAGCCCTTTCAGTTTTGCTAAGATTGCTCTGGATATAGCAGTCCTGTCTCATAAATTGATGCCCCAAGTTCAGCAGGATTGAGCCTGCCAAACAAGAGCAGGGTTCTGTAGTATTTTGTTGATGGGCCTTTTTGGATGCAATTATAAGAACATGTATCCTCCTCCGGTGCAACTCTGAGGAGGAGATGCTTAATACCACGTGAGGGGAATGGAGGGAGAGTGCACAAACCCAGGTTTTGTATATGCACTATTAAACCAGAGATGGGGAACCTTTCTTCTCTCAATTATTATATTCCAATGGCCGTTCTAACTGGGGGATTGTGGGAGTTGTAGTCCAAAGAATAACTTGCCCAAGCTCTTGTATCTCTTGTTGAAATTAGATGCCTCCCCCTGCTGCGGGGGCAGCTCTCCTTCATCCTATTTTCACTATACGGTACTGTACTAATGCCTGATTTTGAATCCAACATCAGTGGTACCCTCCTCTTCCCTTTGTTTTCTGTGTAGCTTTTTGACTTTAATACAAGTGAGTTATTTCCCCCAAATATCCTAGTGTGTTCATCCAAGCGGTCCATTTTATTTGCATTATTCACATGATGTATTTATATAAACTATATAAATGCAGTTATGCAAATTAATACGGCAATATATATTTATATAAATTAATTAATCCATTTATGCCATTTATATCCTGCCTTCCTCCCAATTCATGGATCTGAGGCAGTATACAAAGGTTTAATGAACAGCTAAAAAGAGTGGCTGAAATCCAGTAGTAAGTCACAACTAGAGTAGGCTAATTGAATCACTGATGATTTGGTGAGTCAACTCCTCCGTAATTTCCATTGATTCAACGGCCTATCTAATTGTAATTTACTACTATATTTCAACCAGTAAGCTAAAACATTAATATGTAATTAACTCTAGTGTCACATTGACACAACCACTGAATTAAAACGCTGCAAAACTATTTAAAAGAGTGTTGGAAAAAATAAAAAGTACAACATGCCCCACATAAAACCCTTCCTTAGCTGCCACACAGATACCAAAGCAACTGCCACGAAATACTCCTCTGGGGGAGTAGGCGGGGTTAAGCACCTTCAAGAAAACTGAGCCAATCAGCGCACTCCGCATTAGACAGGGAGGAGTGGAAGGAAGTGGCTAACCAGTTGTACGAGGAGCCAATTTGCCCAACCATCTTTTCTACTGGAATTAACAACGGATTATTTCTGAGCAGAACCTGAGGAAGATTTTTTACAAGGACCCATGGCTGGTGGCCTAATACTACTGCTTTCTCCCCCTGGTTTGGCCTGAATCCAATTAGTAGTTGCAATTACAGCAGTAGGCTCATTGAATCAATGGGATTTACATAAACATTGACTTTCCTTTTCGTGATCAATTCATTGACTCTAGTTCCACCCACTGGATTTAGGCCTCTGTCAACATTCAAAACTCTACATTACACCAACGTTTATAGCCAGTCACACAAGAATCCGGTTTACCTCAAAGACATCATCAGGTATTGCTGTTCTCCATTTTGCTGTGGATTTAATATGCTCATATGTATTCACAATAACCTCAACTGCTCTGGGGTAAGAGCTACATGCTTGTAAAACCTGTAAAAGGAAACATATCATCTTTTGGAGTTTGGTCTGTGCAAGCATATCAGACAAAATCCAAAGGGAAAAAAGAACAAAAACATGTGGCACCTTAAAGATTAACTATTGTAGTTTAATGTGAGCTTTCATGGATCGAGTTCACTTCTTCAGACATATGGAATAAAATAAAATGAGATAGCATAGCAAGCCAGGCAATCAGCAAAATGCCCTGTCCATGCTTAGCTCTTGTAAACTCAAACTTATGGCTTACTTTAGGAGTCAAGCCATCTCATATTTGTTCTTCCTCTTTTCCTGCTGCCTTCAACTCTAAGATAACTGGCATAAATCATGCAACACAGCACACAACAGCAAATGCCTGCCCTAACTACTTAACTTGTGGCAATTCACGGATCTGATGTACTATGCTGACAGGCATAATGAATAGGACTTGGGCCATTGTTTCCACCATCAGCCATTTCAAGGTGTGTGTCCCCCTCACAGACACAGAATTTAAGGCACAAAAAATACCAACAATCAGATGCAGAAAATAAAGTTGATGTCCTATGATGTGGCTTTACAAGACCCACATGGTAGAAATTCCATGAGGACTTGCAAGAGTGTTTTGCAAACAGGAAGTGCATTCGTGAGATTTGATATTCTGAAATCAGTGATCCAGATTGAATTGGGACACGTTTTTCAATCTCTTTGGAAAGGTAGAAGAAGGCATCACACTTTTCTCCCAATTTGATCCAAACAACTGCACATATTTCATTTATTTTTATTTCCTTCAATTCAATCTTGTCTTTTCTCCAGTCAGTTCAAGGTAATATATATGACTTTCCTCCATCTGCTTTCCCAGCAAACTTATGAGGAAGGTGAGGCTGAGACACAGTGACAGGCCCAAGGCCATGCAGTATCTTTTCTAGTCAAATGAGGATCTGAATTCAGATCTCCAGAAGCTTAGTCCAATACTTTAATTGCTACATTACATCCGGTATACAATGGTGCCTCGCTTAACGTGCGCCTCGTTTAATGACGAATCCGCATAGCAATGATTTTTTGCGATTGTTTTTGCGATCGCATAACGATGTTTCTAATGGGAAAATATCGCTTTGCAATGATCAGTAAGTTGTTTTGCTTACCGATTTCCGCATAACGATGATTTCCCAACAGCTGATTGGCGGTTCCAAAATGGCTGCCGGGTTTTAAAAAATGGCCACCCGCTGTGTTTTTGCGCCCATTCCTCGCTTACCGGGCAGCAAAAATGGCGGCCGTATGGAGGATTTTCACTTAAAGGTCAGTTTTTTGCTCACAGGAACGCATTAAACGGGTTTTAATGCATTCCTATGGCCTTTTTTATTTCGCATAGCGACGAATCCGTATAGCGACGATTTTTGCTGCACGGATTATCGTCGCTATGCGGGGCACCACTGTAATTGGCTCGATGTCACTGGTTCCCAGCCTTGGATACCCCAGGTGTTCTTGGACTGCAACTCCCAGAAATACTGGCCAGCACACCTAGTGGTGAAGGCTTCTGAGAGTTGAAATCCAAGAACACTTGGGTTACCCAAGGTTGGGAACCACTGCTCTGCAGAAACACCAAGTTTTAAATTGTTTACCTTGTGAAACTGTGGAGGATATATCCTGGCAGCCCCAAAATTTAGAAGCAGCTGGTAACAACGCTCCATCTGCGCACCAGGACGCACCCCGGTCACCTTCAGGACATACTGCAAGGGAGCGCAGCCATTGTCGTCCATGAAGTTGGCTTCAGCTCCAGCCAGAAGAAGCATCTCCATCAGCACATAATCACAGTTCCAGGCTGCCTTATGGAGTGGCGTTCTGAAATCCTCATCCCGCGAATTGAAGTCAGCATTGTAGTCAAGTAACATCCGACAAATCAAGTGGTGATTGGTGCTGTATGTCTGTTCTGCGTTGTTGAGGGCCCAATACACTGCACAAGCCAGAGGTGTTTCTCTGTGAGCGTTTCCACAATCAACCATAGCTCCATGCTCTACATAGAAGGACACCATCTCAGGGATACCACAGCGGGCAGCTGTGTGGAGGGGAGTTTCCTCATCTTGATTGTTCGTCCTTATGTTCACATCTGCACCTGTTTGGAAGGAAAAACAGAGGGAAATGGTGGGAGGAGACACACTTTTACTTGACCAACGCACACATTTCCTGAAGGCAGGTGAAAAATAAAATAACAGTGTAAGGTACATTTTTTCTTAAACAGCTATTTCACTAAGAAGAGTGTTAATTGTCTTGTACGTATCTGCCTGATTTACAGAAATCACATTCTACTGATCATATATGTTTGAGCTCATGGATCACTTACTGAAATCTACATATTTGCATATAATTAAATATAATTCCACTGCAGGAAATACATTCTTTGCTTTTTGTTGTAGCAGGCATAATCACAGGCAAAACATGCCCTGCTTTGTTACAGAAAAGGGAAATATTTATTTTAAGACAGTGTTCGCCTTTTCTAAGTACTTACATTGAACATTTGCATATACAGAAAAAACCCTGTTGCTGCCTATCTATAACTGAATATTATGTTAGACCATTTATAAATGAATGAATGAATAAATAAATAATCCCATTTAATAACCTTGTTGCTTTGTTTTGGACCATCTGAAGTTTCTGGACTGTTCGTAAAGGCAGCTCAGTAATCATACCTGTACATGCTTTGTTGCACATCCGTACCAAAACCACTATGTGATTTATGGTGTACCTCCAGGTCCATATATTATTCACTGTACAAAAGGGCTGTCTGTATAGAAATTGGTATTTTTTTTAAAAAAAAGTTCTTTTATTCATGTATTATTCTGTTGAAGCAACAGCCCCATCTAGTGGACAATTTCTATGTATACCCTCATCAGAAGGGACCTTGTTGACAGTTATGTATTAATTCCTAACTAAATAATGCAGTAATGGTCTGAGTTATCACCAACTTACAATGCCTTGTGAGAAATTAATTACAAAAAAAACCTTTATAAAAGCTTGAATCCTAAATTCTAAAAGTAGCAACTCCATAAATTGCATTGATTCAAATGGGCCTACTCTAGTTGCATTTTACTTTAACTTGGTAATTCACAACTAAAGTAGGCCCATTTGAATCAATAGATCTTCTAAAGAAGCTGATTTAACTGATCTCCACTGAGTCCATGGACATACTCTAGTGCAACTTACGCCAATATGTAACAGGATTTTGGCCACTGAATCACACAGGTCATGTTTTTAAATATGTAATAGTAAGGTTCAGAAAATATATGAATACATAGGGAAGCAGTGGGGAGGGTTCGTATAATTCACAAAACATACAGTTGAGATGTAAAGCTCATTCATGTTTGTTTTTTTTAAACTGAGAACGTGATAGTGAAAAAGATGAGTCACTGCATACAGAGCAAAGGCCATTTGTAAGTCTATAGACCAGACTTCCCAAATATATTGCTCTTCAAAAGTTGGATGACATGATCTAATCAAGTGAAATTATAAGATCACTTGATTAAAATGTCTTTGAACTGAAGACTCCAGTGTAAACGTTTTCTTTAAATGTTCCCTTCAGTTGTCTTTGCTCCTGAGAAGTCCAGGTTTTACACCTCTCCTTTCAAGGTAGGATAGAAATAATTTTAGGATGAGGATGCAGCCTTTAAAGCATTCTTCATCCTGAAAGTAGGTCATTCAGAACATGTCGTTTCAGCTTACGCTGCCTTTTGCAAAAGTGCCTTGGATTTTTCTGATTCCTCATGGCAGCTGTCTTAGTCGTGCCAACAACTTTCATTAGCTTCATAGGGATTAACCGTGACACCAGCAATTTATGCTTTCTATCATTTGTAATAAGGTGCATCTTTCAACAGGAAGGAATGTAGATAACAGCAATATTTCCCAGAGCGTAAGAACTTAATCGCTTTTGAATGCGTTGAATCTTCTCTCCTGTTTCAATCTCTGTTCTTTATTGTGATGATAGTTAGTTTGGGATGAATGTGTGAATTTTTTTGTTGTATGCCATCAAGTCACACCCAACTTATGGCGATTCTCACAGGGTTTCAGAAATATGTGAGATGTTCAAAGAGTGGTTTACCATGGCCATCACCAGTGAATTTTCATAGTTGAGTGGAAATTTGAATTCGGGTCACCTGAGCCTTAGTCCTACCCATTGCACCAAACTGGCTCTCACAATGCATGAGCAAACTCTCCTAAATAGGTGGGGGAACAATGAGTCAGAACAGGAAAAAAAAACAGTTACTTTTTGGGGGCTACAACTCTTACATGGCCATGGGGCCATTCTGAAGAGGACAGTCCAAAAAAAGTAACTTTTTAAAAGTTTTGCATTTAGAGCTAGCGTTTTCTTGATTGTTATTCCACTTCAAGAATAGTATTGGGAAGCCTGGAAGCAGTATGCTAACAATGTTTCAAATTCTAATGTTTTTTGACTGACGCTAAATGACAATGCTCAACCATACTAGTTTTCTACGGTTAAGGGCTTGATAGCTCAGTGAATTGGGAATTTCATTGTACAGCCAGGGGTTGAGAGCTCACTTCTCCAACATGCCTCCTGGAAGAAGAGGCAGCCTATGTAGCCTTGGACAAGATGCACAGCCCCAGGATGTCCCCAGAAGAAGGGGACAGTGACCTCTGAGTATTCTGCTTCTAGAAAATCCCAGAAAGGGATGCCATAAGTTGGAATCAACTTGATGGTATATCATTATTATTTTTAAAGGGTTTTTCTAGCCATTCACCCACCCAGATACGTATGCATGCAGTTCACCCTGTTGCAGGATGAAAAGATACATCAGAGCTTGTCTATGATCAAACTTACCTCTCCAGATTAACTGCTGTGCACAAGACATGGACAGCTTTGTCGTACAAAAATGAAGGGGAGCAAGCCCGCTCAGGGAATAGCAGTTGGTTTTTGCTCCATGACTGCAAAGGATCTTGACACAATCCAGATTGGCCGCTTCACATGCAATGTGGATTGCTGCTTTCCCATTGGGCCTGCAGTTGATTGTGGCTTTATGTTTCAGCAGGACCCTTAGGCTCTCCAGATGTCCATACAAAACGGATAAGTGTAGTCCAGTTGCCCAGGAATGTTGGAGTTTGTAACTAGGCAGCCAATACCCTGCTTGGGAGCAAATTTTAAAGAAAACAGCATGTGACTTTTTGTGATGCATTATGACCTCACATAGCTGGCTGGATAACTCAGTGGGTTGGAGCACCTGGAGGTGGAGCCAGGTCTCAGGAGTTTGATTCCCTACTGTAGCTCTCAGGAAAGGAACCAGTTTGTGCAGACTTGGGAAACTGCAGAGCTCCGGAGCACTACTAGAAGGAGAGATGGATACGCCTGAACACTCTGGACCTAGAGAACCCTAGGGAGGGTTGCTATGAGTCAGAATTGATTGATGGCACATAATTATTCTAAAGAACCAGCACAGTGTACTTTCCGACTAAAACACAAGCTTCATGGGAGGAAAAATATAAGCTTCCATGTACGTCATGTAGCACATTTTAAAAAAATTGATTTAAAACATGCTAAATCTGATTCAAACATGTTCCCCCCCTTTTTGTAACCATGTAACTGTTGGGTTTTGTGCATATTAATTGCACATGCTCAAATAACCGTAAGCTGAAGTAGGTCCTCCCATGATAAAGACAGTAGTGGTTTTTAGAGTTGAGTTACTGAAAAACATTCCCCACATCAGCTGTGCTTTGTTTTTCCCCCGAGGTAACATGGTACTGGACAGAAGACTTGATATGTCTTTTGCATCAGGTTCCAATTAGTGGATCTCGGCGTTCAAATGAAAAGCAAAATAGATACGACAGTTTAATCTCTCTAAAATAACAAAATGTTTATTCAGCATTTCTTTCATGCTCATATAGATTTAAAGAGTTTGAGAAGTGGTTTGAAAGTTTAGCATTCAAGGAGTTGGAAAAGAAGATGGGAAAAATTACTGGTTTTCGACTACAACTTCCATAATTCCTTACTCCATATAGCCATGATTACTCCACTGGCCATGCTGGCTTCAGGGGTTTGAGAGTTATACTCCAAGAAAGAAGTAACTTTCCATGACCTGTGGGCTTAGATAGTGTGATACACCTACAAATAGAGTGTACGGTATATGCAGCTTAGGATCGCAGCTGGTCAGTGTTTGGGCTGATTCTTACATGAGGCAGATTTAACCACTGTGCCTTACAGCATGTTATGTGATCACAGGGAAAGCACTACCTTCTACTGTGGCCAGAATTTACTCCTGACCTAAGTTATTCTAAATGTGACTTGAAGCATAATACTCTGCTGAGCGTCTGGGCCATGTCAGGTCAAAGTTGTGTTTTAAAGGTGGCAGAATGGAGGCGAGAGCTCAAGCAATATATAATCAAAGTGTCTTTTTGGACAGTTGACAAGCAGCAAACGCATTCTGCCCCACTTCTAATTTTACATCTACAGAAAAGACCAGTGCGCAGGAAAATCCCCCACAGCGATATACATTTGGGGTTAAACTTGCAACATACCTATTGAGCCTCAAACATCTAAGATATGTGTTTTTGTTACAAAAAAAAGTCTGTTGCATCTATGAAGAGGGAGACCTTTTAATAATCTGGGCACTTTCTTATTTTTTTTTTCAGTCTTCCCCCTCTATCCTAATCTGTAAACAACTCCTAAAAGCTACTCTGTACCAAACCTAGTGGTTAGTCTGGCTTTGATCCAGAAGCTTAAGTAACACTATATGATACCTGCAAAACGCAAATATTAGCAGAAGACAAATAGTCCATTTGCTTCAAACATTCCACAAGCTGGAAGGCTCTTTACCTTGTTTGTAGGAGGCCAAAAGGAGGTTTTCATCTTCTACTTCAAACACAGTGTCCACATCTACTTTCTTTTGGGTCAGAAATTCCTCCAGAGTTCTGTAGTCATTTGATTGCAGAGCCTGCAAGAAAGCTTTTTTCATTTCCTTGGCAGTTTCCACCTGTGTCATTCTTTCTCCCATATTTTCCTGATGGTCTTATCCCACATGTGCTTTAAATGAACCAATTTGTATGTTTATGCTGTGCATAAAGCTGTGTTTTAATTTCTCTCAAGTGGCATTAGCCTGCAAACCTAGAGGTAATCTTAACGCTAAGTAACACTGATCTCCTAGTTCTATTTATATAAAGGAAATATCAGCTGCTTACTAGTACTACATGCTTAATTCTGCCAAAAGGGACTCAGACAGATCTATGATGCACTGGTGTTATTATAAAAAATGCTTAAAAGGATTAGTCCATACTGTCCACTCATTCACATGTTAAAATGAAGATTAACTTGCAAGGATCTCAAGGCAGACAAAATTTCTCAAAATAGTACTAATCATATTCATATTCATAGGAGGAAAGCTGTCCTGGTTTTACCACTGGAAATCTTATCACCTCTCAACTTTTCTGCATGAACCTGAAGTTCCCATTTTCAAAGCTCCCCTTCTTTCCCATCTGTTCCCAAATGGTCCAATTACAATTTCACCCAAATTGATGGGGCAGATACAGAGAGAATAAATTTGTTGAGGCTTTAAAGAATTTTTCAGAAATACCATGTATAAATTATGGCAATTATACACAGTCAAGTCAATATTTTCCTAAGAGAGTGGTTCTTAAGTCAAAATGTTCTTAACTCGAGCCGTTCTTAAGTCAAGACCCCACTGTATGGCAATTATACATAATTTACAGAAGACTGTGGGATGGGACACAATGAGAGCACATACATACATATGCCTGAAATCCTGTTGTGTGGCCATCTCCATGACACATAAGGCTGATTACATCATCAGTCATGGACTTTTATTGGACAAGGATTGGTGGCAGTGATGTTTGGACATTAACGACTCCCCTCTCCATCCTGACACATGCTCATGTGTATACGGTGGTGGAATTTCAACAGGCTTGGTGAGTTCTGATTACAGTACTTTGCAATTACACTAGGAGACACTCCCTCTGCCAGTTCATGGGGAATTGGTTCCAATCTTCCTGTTGATGCCTAAAAATGTGGATAATATTGAACCCTCTTACAGCATGGTCTCTGTCTCCCTCTAGTGGACAGTTTTGACGATCACACAGGGTTTAAAAACATTTAAGAGTCAATTTAGATTCAGTGGAGCACTTCTAGCAGCAGTCAGTGGGACTTGAAGGAGCTACATAAACAGCTGGGTTATGTGTGTGCATATGTTATGTGTTGCCTGATAACCTGAGAGGCTCCAGAATTAGCACTGGCACACAAGGGAAATTCAGAGCTTGTGATCTCACAAACCCCTTCTGATAATAACATAGAAATTGTGTTGCCTGATAACCTGAGAGGCTCCAGAATTAGCACTGGCACACAAGGGAAATTCAGAGCTTGTGATCTCAGTACAAGAGAAACGCCTTTTGATAATAACATAGAAACACTGCATGCTCAAAGAAAATAACTACTTAAATATTAACCAATATTTCATATTTGTATTCCATTAAGCATTTTCTGTGAAGTGACCCAATACAAGAGCACACCTTGTATACAATCAAAGCTGTTTTAACATGTATTTAAATATATTTAGAACCATTGCCAGAGACTGTTGGCTTTCCTGTAGATTTATTTTCTTTTCCGCACAAATTTCTGTAAAGAACAATAGCAACAAAAATCTGATTTAATCATAGCCAGCTGAAGTTATTGTATTTTTCTGGGCTCCCTGGATTGGCCTTCCACTCCCCCACATTATTTCTTAGGCCTCCTTTTGAATATCAGAAAGCCTCCATAAGGGTGTATTCCTTCATGTACATGTGTTTTCCATCTATGTCCTTCATATATATACCTCAAACTGCTTTCTAGGGAGAAAAATACTATTTTAGGCTCAGTTGCCATAGCGATGAACCACTCAATTTCAGTGTCTCCTGCAGAAACACAGAGAAGTTGTCTCCTTTGTGCTTTACAACAGGGATTTGAAGATGTCAGCCTTGTGAGATCTACTTTTTCTCCACCTTCAAACAATCGAAGATCACCCAGCGCAGCCTATTGAAAGAAACTCTCTTAGAATTAAAGAATTATAATTTGAGGAATTTGCATTCAGTAACAGATGTCAAAAGAATTGAAAATCCTTCCATACAAAATCTACACTTCATTACCCTGCGTTATCCAGCAGTACACATTAGAACAATGAGCCAATGGGAGTATTTTGTTACTGTAGTCACAGTCAGAAATCTCTGCCATTTTGCTGTAGATCACTCAGAGGTCAATCATTAAATCGCAGATCTAAACTCCTGCTTACCTCCATGAAGAGATCCCTGGAGTGGAGTCAGCTCTTAGATGCAATTTCTGGCTAGAAGAGATTCATCGGTCTGAAGTTAATTGTCAAACATTCCAAGAACACTTCTGAGTGTGTTGTACAAAGCAAGCTGGCTTCTCCCAACCAAAGGTTGGGAGAAGGAGACTTGGAACATGGATGTATTTGGAATCCTGAAAATGAAAGATTTGTAGCACCTTAAAGACTATCAGATTTAGTTCACTGTGAACTTTCATGGTTCACAATCCAGTTCCTTAGATGCATGGAGCATAATAGTTAGGCCACAGAGCACATATATTGAGCAGATGGTGGAGAAATGGGAACCAAGTGAGACAGGAGAAAGAGGGTGGCCATTTCTTTTATAATGACAAGGGCACCAGTAAATTATCTGTCAAAATTCCAGTTACATAGACACTCTGTTATCAGCAGTTCAATAGTTGTGCTGGAGGAAAAAAAATACCTTTCTAGTTATAGCTATACCCAAGATTGTGGATAAATCTGAAGTACAGTATTAATATACATAGGATGCTAACAACCATTATACCCAAGATTGTGGATAAATCTGAAGTAGAGTATTAATATACATAGGATGCTAACCATTAGGTAAAAGTTCCCCTTCAGTTATAGCTACAGTCATGTCTGACTCTAGGGCATGGTGCTCATCTCCGTTTCCAAGCCATAGAGCCAACGTTTGTCCATAGACAGTTTCCGTAGTCACGTGGCCAGCGCGACTAGACACAGAACACCGTTACCTTCCCACCGTGGTGGTACCTATTTATCTACTCACTTTTTAACATGCTTTTGAACTGCTAGGTTGGCAGGAGCTGGGACAAGCGATGGGAGCTCACACCATCGCGTGGATCCGAACTGCTGATCTTTTGACCTTGCAGCCCAGACGCTTTGCTGTTTAACCTGCAGTGCCAGTAGCCCAGAGGCTTTGCGGTTTAACTTGCAGTGCCACCATGTCCCTTTGCTAACAACTGTTAGTCCTTATTTAATCCTTCCAAAGAATTTGTGAATACAGTCTATACCAGCAAACAAGCCCCTGATGTAGATTTTCATTGGAAGGATCTGCAGTGGTGCAGCCAGAATAGATGCAGAACTGGTATCTTAGTGGTAGCAGAGCTTTTGTGTTATGTCTCAGTAGCTGTTGAAGATTGGGAGGTTATCTGTAAACAGATACAGACTGTTGACCCAGGGCCCAGGAGAGGGAAGTATGATTGTCCAGAGTGAGTTTTAGCTTATTGGTGATACATTTGAGTGGTTTCAGCTAGGAGCTGTAGGTGGCTGCTGATGGTGTTCTGTCATTTTCTCTTTCTCTTGTTTTGGGGGGAGTTCTCTCTCTTATAGTAGGTAGTTTCTTCATACTCACCTTGTCCTGTCAATTTGTTACCACAATTTGGTACTGAAGTTTCATAAATGCCTGCTGCAAATTAATAGCAGACAAAAAAGGGTCTCTTGCTCATTTAATGACAGTTCTGTCCTAGGGTTAGAAAGTATTGGATGGATGTGATTAGCAATATCACAACTATTACAGCTGGCTGTCCCTTTCCCCCGAATATACTGTTGGGGTACACTAAAAATCAGATCCTAAAGGATGCTGAAAATAATGATACAGTATATGTTTATGCAACACTCTATAGTTCTGTGTGGACAAACAAACACATGCCAAGTTTTTTTCACCATGACCGGAGTCGGTGGAAGAGCTGTGAACCAGTTGTTGTACCACTTGCGGACATGACCCTGAACTTGACCGCTGTATATGTCACACAAAGACTTTGTTTTTGGGTGGGGGTGACTTTTTGTCAAGAATTGAAATTTAGGGAGGCTGTTAAGTAGGATAATGAAAATATCAAACAATAGCATTCTGCATCAGTAGAATTAATGATTCAACCTAAGAAGAGCCATTTATAAGGAGACAAAATCACTAGAGAAAAGTATTAAGGTGACACAGGTGGGGCTGAATTTTTTTAGCACCTTACTGTTGTTTCCTTTCAAAGTTTCAGTGGTCCACTAGAGCAACAATGTGGTCAGTGATTCAAGAGAATGCCGGAGGGTGAGAATATTTTTCTTCTGTTTGTCTAGGAAGAAAAGATGTCAATCAGAATCATTCACATACAACCCATCCGTCATTAATACTATGTGAACACACAATTCCCCAAGCAAAAATAAAACCAGTTTAGCCAGGATACATGAGAAACAACTTATGTAGTTAAATATTACTTTAACTCATCAATTCCTTAACTCTTAAACTTCCTACTCTTCTCAGTATAGTTCTAATCTCAGTTCCAAACTATGTAGCAGGAGAGCAAGGTCACCCACAATACTTCTAAAACAGTCTCAAACGCTGTGTGTTGTTCTAATGATCCATTGCATTAGCACTTGCATGCTTTCAGAGTTAGCCTAGGGGCTACCCAACAGTTTTTGTTGTGCAAGTGGTTGCACAAGGGTGAATGCACAGAGGCTTCTTATTCGATGGGGTAATCCAATGCAACTGATAATGGAAATTTTCTCACTGCTAGTGCTACATTTGGGTTGGGCCAATGATTTTATTTTATGATGTTTTACAGTGTTCCTTATTGTTATTTGTCATGTATTTCTTACATTTTATTTAGTAGCTGTTTTACACCTTGTTATTCTGTCATTGTTGCTGTTTACATTATAGTGGAACCTCGACTTACAGACTTCTCTGGCTGCAAAATTTAGGTTCGACTTGCAGCTGGAGAATCAATTTACAGACCAGAAAAAAAACCAAAATGGAACAAAAACAGAACAAAAACGGCCAGTTACAGATTAATCAGTTTTCAATGCATTG